CAAACCAAACCCCAAGCCAACCCCTCCAGCTTTAGGGGGGGTGAATTTAAGCAGGAGGGACAAGCACCAAGTGACAGGTTGTCAAAAGCCATCTCAGGCTTCACTGGTCTGAGCAGGAAGGAACAAATGTGATGCTACAGATGGGAGGGAAGCTGAAGGGGCTTGGAAGCCAAAAGCAAAGCTGCCAAGTTGGTTGAGAGGCAGAGGTTATTTTTTAACATCTGCCAGTGTTTCTGCATGACACTGAAAGACTTAGAAACCATTTGATGAGGAAATTACTGGCCTGGGTGGCTCTGAAAGCAGCAGTTGCAACTGCCATCCCTAAAAACCATGGAACTCAAATGCCAGCCTTGCTGCAAAGGCAGGATGTCCTGCCAGGGGAAGAGAACATCCCAGTGGTGGCAACACATAAGCATCAGGTGGAGCCAGCACCAAGCAGAGCTCCAGCCCAGCCAGTTCCCCAGGCAAACCTTCCTGTTGCCCAAGGAAATGCAATGAGATGGGCTAGAATATCTTCCAGGCTCATGGGCTGGTTGGGATTTAGATGCCAGCAGAGTGTGTAGCACTTGTGTTCTTAAAAACTTGCAGAAATGGTGAACACTCAAGCACAGAGCAGGTGAGCAAAAGCTGGGGAGAGAGAGAAAGAACCTCTCAATGTTGATGGTGCTTGGACCTTTAGATAGGTTTGTCTCCAGTGAATCAAGTCAGGAATCCCAGTCAACTGTTCTGGGTCATCATGGGAAGATAAGGAGATGGTTCTTAAGTGGTGCTACCAAGGATGGGAAGCAAGACACCATCATTCTGAGACAGAACCACTCCAAGGAAGAGGTTTGCTCCTGGCTGGGTGACAGGAACAGGGAGCAAAGAAGAGAGGAAAGGGTAGGAAGTGGCAGTTTGGGGAGAAAAAGGTGTATTTCAGAAGGAAAGGGCAGCTCCTCAGAAGCTCATGAGAAGACTGGAGAAAGGCTTTCCCTCTGTTCAGCACTTGTACATCCTCAGCACAGCAGGGTCCTCTCTGGGCTCTTGGCACTGCTGCAACTGAAGCAGCAAGAAAAGCCATCAGTGGTGATGCAGAAGAGCCTCCAAAGCCACAACCAGCCAACATGACATGCCGAGGGCTTGACAATCCAAACTCACTGGGCTATTAGCAAGAGGATCATTGTATTCCACCTTGGACACCCTCTCAAGGGTCAGAGTGCAGCTCAGAGGTGCAGAAAATGGACAGCAGGACTAAAGACCTTGTGAGGGCACTGGTGGTGGGGCCAGAGGTGGAGTGGGTGGATGGAGTTCAACACCCACCTAGTTCAGGGCCTCCAGTGTTGGCCCTGGATGCTCCAAGGCTTCAGGATTACATTCCACAGTCTGCTGAGAAGGTGGAGAGGGCAGAGAACCTGGCTAAGCTCTTTGGCAAAGCTGCCTTGAAGCAGAGGGTTCCACCCCCTGCACTTCCATCTCCAGGTGCATGCTCTGCTCTCCAGGCACCATGTGGCCTCAGCTCCACTCCTCTACCAAAAAGCCCTTCCAGGGGATTGAAGAATGTGCCACTGAACTCTTGGCAGGCACTACCAACTGCCCTTCCAGCACTGCTTCCAACATGGGGTGGAACATCCTGGTGAAATACCAAGGGAACATCTAAAGATTAGAAGGCACAAAGCTCAAGCAGAGGAACCAGAAGCCAAGAGGCTCAGATCTCTGGATGCTTCAGGTTTCCCCAGAGAGCTGCAGAGCAGAGTGGGGTGAGGGCAGAGGGAGCAGGCAGCAGTTTGTGGCACAAATGAAGGAGGTAGCCTTAGCATGTCTTGATGCTGTCATTTTCCAGCTAGGCTGTTCCAGGATCCACCAGGAGACCAGCCTGCCCAGATGCCCACATGGCCAAGGAGTGGTGAGGATCAAGACAGACATTTAAAGCAGAAATAATGCAGAGAACGTGGATTTCCTTGGTGAGAACTGGGAACAGATCTGTTTGGCAAGTGGAAAACAGGAATTACTCATCCTGGGATGCAAGAAGAACCTCGACTAAGAGGGCTCTTTTGCACCCCTGCTGCCTGGGTCTGAGGCAAGGCCAGGTCAGGAGCAGTAGGTATTTCCAGGCTTTTCAGAAGCCTGGTCCAGCAGAGAGCACAAAGGAAGCAAACCCAACCTATGCAGCATGCCAGGCTGCCTCCTGCTCCAGCTGCTCCCATTCCCCTGGGACACAGCTGCAATGGCACAGAGAAGGCAACAGTCCCACACAACGATTGTGGCCTTCCAGGCCATAGTGGAGAAACACCCAGGTCAGAAGGGGCTTTTCTAGTGCAATATTGTGACCCATGAAACACCATCAGGCCACTAGTGAAACAACACATTTGGATTCAGAGGGAGATAATCCACCTTCCTCAGCTCGAGTCACCTCCCCACCACCCTCTGGGAGGGCACCAGTAGTTCCACCTGGTCTCAGGGGTCACCATCTCCTAACTCCTCACTGCCAGGGCCAGACATGATTCTTCCATTTGTGTTTGTAAAGTGCTTTGCAGATACAAAGCTCTGCCTAAGTGCTCAGAGTTATTACTCCCCACCTTCTGCCCCTGAGGAAAGGCAGAACCAACCTCCTTCTCCCTGCTCCACCACCCCCAGCCTGCAGCAGGAGGGCAGCCAGCCTGCTAGCTCAGCCTCCCCACCCTCCAGCTCCCCTTTTTCCCACCTCAGAACTCCCCAGCTTCTTGTGTGTATCCCTGGAAACCACCCTGGGAGGGAGTCCTGGCTGGGTGCAGCAGTTCAGCCTCACCCCTGGGGTCTGCAAGAGGAGCTGGGTGATCTGGTGGCACTTCAAGAGTTGTTCTAAGGGCTCCTGAACCACACGAGCTCTCAGCAAGGGGAGCTCCCTGCTCTTTTCTGAGGGGCCTGCAAAGAAAAAAAAGTCACTTCTGAAAGCATTTTTCTTTTACAATTTACTTGGAATTCCAAGGGGCTTCCTCCCTCCAAGTCAAGACAATATCATGAAGGTCACCTTTGGGACCTAAACCACAGGGACAGTATTTTCCTGCTCACTTGACAAAACCCTGTACTTCTGCAGGCCCTGTCATTTGTCAGGAGAGGGGGGACACAGCATCCCACACCAAACTGGGGAGTGGGAGACTCACTTGGACACCCAGCCCAGCTCACTCCTGTGCACCTGAAGTGATTCACATCCCTGCACAGTGGTTATCAAGGGCTCCCAATCTGACTTGCTGGCATTTGGCACCACTCGTGCCCTGGTTGTGTGGCACCCAGGACAGCACAGCCCTGACTCACACAGGGACTTCCAGAAACCATTCAGGGAACACAGGGTAGGGATAATGGGAGCCCAGGGATTTTTCAGGAGCTCCTGGGAAGCCCAGCAACCTCCCACAGTGGAAATATTGCAGCAAAGGAGGGGAGAGGACAATTAACACCTCTGGGATTATAAGGAAGTTAAAGATAGGAATTTCTTTTCCAGTGAGGGAGGACAGAGCTCCAGTGAGACCCACTGGCTGCTCTGCTGAGCTTTGATATGAAGGTGTTTTGACAATTAAAGGCCTTTGACAGGTCACAGTAAGTTTAACTTCCCAGACAGGTGATCTCTCTCCTGTTTCCATCCTTGGGAGGTCCCTGCTCAGACAGGCCTAGCAGGCTCCTCGGGGTACTGACGCTCTGCCCAGCAGTGCTCAGGTAGTTTGACTAGAGACTTGATCAAGCTCTGCAAGGGGGAGGGGAAGAGGGAGGGTGGGAAGGGGTGCAGTCAGCTCCCCCAGACTCTGAGCCACTTGAAAAGCAGGGGCCTTGGAATCACACCTGCCCATCCTCTCTCTGCCCTCAGATCCCAGAGGGAACAGCACGGGAAGGCAAGAATGAAGGTGGTTTTTGCTTAGGGAAAGCCTCCCTGTTTGCTTAATAAATACCTTCCAAAAAGCTTAGCAGCTCTGTAAACATACAAGAGATTTCAATACTTAGTAATAAAGTTCATCTTTTCCCTGAACCCCCAACGACAGAGGCTGGCACTGATCTGTGGGTACTGCATTTGGGTGGTGTGAGGACCCAGGGGAGTCCAGGAGAAGCTCCCAAGCTCCACAGGGGCCTGGCAAATAACACTGGGTCTGGAGAAGCCTGTTCCATTTTGAAGTTGATCCATCCATGCAGCTCTGAGGTGAGAATCTTGTCAGTCCTGCAGGAACGTCGCCAGCTCAGAGCGGGCCAGGGAGCTGAGAAGTGATGATGGTGACATCCAGGAGAACTCTTGCTGGCAAAGGAGGGAAGGTGGCAGAGGGTTTTGGCTCTTCAGAACAGGGTCCCTTCCCTCTCAGCAGCAGCCTGGTGGTCACTGAAGGCAGAAGTGCTCTGGGGAGAGAAAACACAGCGCCAGCCCCATCCTTGCTGCACCTGGCCAGGGGAGGGGAGGCTGCACCTGGGGAGAACACAGCCCCAACATGGCTTTAAAAACAGAAGAGTGTCCTACAAAAGCAACCTCCGTGGAAGTGTGACGAATTGGATCTTGGGCCAGATCCAACAGGGTAGTGCAACAGGGCCCAAAGTCTCAATCCGTTCATTTCCAAAACCACCGCCACGGGACCAAGGGGGGGATCTGGCCTGGCCCCCTTCTCGTCTAATCCGGTCCTGGAGCTGCAGAGAATCCACCCCTTCACCCCACAGGATCCCCTGAAGGAGGGCATCTCTCTCCCAAGCTCAGCAGGTGCCCTGGGGCAAGGAATCTGCCTCTGGAATGCAAGGAGCCAGGCTGAGGTAGGGAACGTGCATCTACCTGGAGCGACTCAGACCCTTCCCAGCAGAGCTGGCCTGAGGCTGCTGCTCCCAGCTGCAAGCCTGGGACTCCCACACAATCCATCCTCCAGGCACCACCCACCGTGTCACCCCCAGAAGGAATGTTTCCAGCTGTCTCCTCTGATCCAAACTGCCCTCTGGCCATCTCCTCCTCCTCCAAGCATGATCCCAGTGCTCAGCCTCGGGGATCAGCTCTCGGAGCCGCACCCCTGGTTTTTTACCCTGCACTAGAGGGCTGAAATCATGAGGTCGTCCTGCTTGGCAGGGCTGGTTACGTGCCCAGAGGGGCTGGAAGTCCGGATTTTCTCCGTGGCCAGGCACTCCTGGCTGCTCACACCTGTGGGACTGATGTCCATGAGTTCTCCAGATGAACTGAGGGGGAAGGAGGGTGAGACAGAGATGCCCGACGAAGGATCCGTTGAGCCTGCGAACAACCTGGGGGGCTTGGGGACGAGGTTGGGTTCATACTGTGCCCTCAGCAGGATCTCCTGGTCGCTGACAGACTTGGGCATCTCTGCGAAGTCACTGGAGCTGTCTGACACCATCATGCAGTAGATGTCCTGGAAAGAGCTGCTTTTGCTGTCCAGGTTAAAGAGGCTGTCTATGAACTCGGCAAACTCCAGCACCTGGGGACTGGGGACGTCGGCGAGGCGCCCGTTCTGGAGGGCCAGCTCCTCCCGAGGGGCTAAGGACACCCTGTCCCCCCCCTCACTGCTGGCCCCCTCCTCACTGCAGCGGCGCCGGGGGGTGGTGCCACCACTATTGAGGACGTTGTCAGGGGGCTGGGTCTCCTGGGAGTGCTTGGAGAGGCTGTCAGCAGCCAGCAGCTCTGTCCGCGAGCTGAGGGAGGGGTTCTCCTCAGGGATAGCAGGGTCTATATAAAAGCAGTGGGTCTCATCCTTCTCCATGACAGCGTGGAGACTGGGGGAGCCCCGGATGCTCCGGAAGCCAGAGGAACGTCTGGAGTCGAAGCTGTAGATGGATTCGTTGTCTGAGAGGCTCTCCATGGTGGCCAGAGGGGCCCGCCGGTCCTGCATCTCCACTGACAGCCGCTCCTTGGTGTCCAGCAGGAGCAGCTCCACGGGGTCCTTCTGCACAGGGGAAAGGGGCTTGGTCTCATAAAAGCCCTCCAAGCTGATTTCAGAATGGGACTTGCTCCTGCGAGGAGAAACGGGCAGCGTGAGAACCTGGCTCAGGTGGGAACCTGTTTCCCCGGAACCACCGGCTGCCGGAGAGGCCACAAGAACCAAGTCTTGGGCACAGAGTTCCTCACACACGCTGAAGGCACAGGTTGTTGCTCCAACCAGAGCCACCCACAACTCCAAGAAACCTCTTATCTCTCCGTCCTCCCAGCTGAAAACATGAGGTACAGGTTCTTTCCCTCTGCAAACTCAGGTTCTTGCCCTTCTCCCTTTTCTCCTGGGTTAAGTATCTTCCCTCCCAAGCACCATTGTTACTTAGGACCATGGATAAGAAGGACATGGAGCTCCTGGAGCAAGACTAGAGGAGGCCACAGAGATGATGAGGGCTGGAGCAGCTCTGCTCTGGAGCCAGGCTGGGAGAGTTGGGGTGTTGAGCCTGGAGAAAAGAAGGCTCCAGGGAGACCTTAGAGCACCTTCCAGTGCCTGAAGGGGCTCCAGGAAAGCTGGGGAGGGACTTGGGACAAGGGCAGGGAGGGGTGGGAGAGAATGGATTAAAACTAGAAGGGTGATTTAGATGAGATATTGGGAAGAAATTCTTTGCTGTGAGGGTGGTGAGAGCCTGGCCTAGGTTGCCCAGGGAAGCTGTGGCTGCCCCATCCTTGGAAGTGTTGAAGGGCAGGTTGGATGGGGCTTGGAGCAGCCTGGGCTGGTGGGAGGTGTCCCTGCCCATGCAGGGGGTTGGAACTGGATGATCTATAAGGTCCCTCCCAACCCATTCTATGATTCTGCTCCCACAGCTCTGCTACCTGAAGCACCCAAACCCAAGGTGCAGCCTCCACACAGGGAGCCAAGCCCCTCTCTCACCCAACACCTCTTGTGTTCCAGAGAACTGAGGCAAGAGAGCTTGAAGGAGTTGCCTACGGTGAACTTACTACTGCCTCTTTCTTTTCCCACTCTGGAACCACTCCAGCCTCATGCCTTCCCTTCCTCCTCCATGCTAGCAATCTCCACCTTCCTGCCACAAAGAAGTCAGGCCACTGTTTGATCCCTTTGTGACTTCTCTGGAGTGACAGTGATCCGAGAACAGCCCTCGAGGACCCCAAGAGAAGCAGGCTGACACACCAAACTGGCTCTAGCCTTGAATTTAACACAACCATTTCCCCTCCAGCATCACCCTTAAGCCTCTCTTCCCTCTCCCTCCCTGCTTCCCATCCCCTGTCTCAGCATTCCCCTTCCACCCCCACTCACCTCACAGGGCAGCAGCTCCTCGGGGCTGGGCTGCCCCACAGAAACCACTGCTCCTCTCCCTGCTGCTTCACCTGCTTCCTCTTCTCAGTCTTCCTGGAGACCTTCCCAAACCTGTGCTGATCCCTCTTCCTGTGAGCTGTCCCTAAGCTCTCCCCTGCCTCTGAGCATCCCCTCTGTGACAAGAGCTTCACCATTTTCACATTATTTACTGTCTTACCTCTCTTCTAAAGTCAAACCCCACTCCTGCTACCTCAAGGATACTCAATCACTCAGCACAGACCATCTCACCCTGCCTCTTCCCACACACACACTCAGCTTCTTGTTGAGTTTCTCTACCTGGAATCCCCAAAGAAGTGCTTCCCTTGCAAAGAAATCATAAAGACATAATCCTCTCCTCCCCACAATGGCTTCTCCTTCCCATTTGCTCTCTCTGACCACAAACCATCTTCCTTCTCCCATCTTCCCTGTTTTGTCTGCAGATTTGCCCTACAAACTGCTGGAAGTTGCGTTCCAACTTTGAAAGGAGTCTTTGCCCACATGTGTACAGTTCCTCTCCTTGCTTCCTGCAGGGCTGTGGTCCTGCAATGCCTCAAAGGTTGCCTGGAAAGCTGCAAGGAGTCTCTTTGCCACTTGCTCCTGGAGGAAAGCTGTTCAGGTACACCACAAAACAAACCTCTTCCTCAAACCTCTCATGGTACATCTTCTAGATGTTCCTCCAGCTTGTGGCCTTTGCCAGACCACTGATATCAACTCCAGGATGGTCCACCTTTCAGGATCCAAGCCCTTCAGCACTTGGAATACACCTTCTTCCCCTCACCTGATTCCCACTGGCCTGAGCTTCCTGCTCTTGTCCTTCCCAAACAGGACACCACCTGCTCTCCCCTCACCTGCATCCACCTTCCCAGGTTGTCCTATTTTTATTACACAAGTCTCATCACAAAGTAGCTTCACATGGGTATTGTCTGGGAAGCTTATGGCTTACCAGATAGAGGCTCCCCATGGGCACAGAAATCCCAGGGGAAATCAGGAATTTGACAGCAAAACTCCAAGCTTTATGGTTTCAGGGAAACCTCCATTTGTCTGGATAAGGAGAAAAGGAAGTTTCTTCCATCCCCTCAACTTCTAGGTTCTCCTGACCTTGCTGCACCCACAGATTCTCCAGCAACACAAAGGATTTTCCCTCCCACCATGACACAAGACATGCTGAAGGCAGCCCTTGGATCTATCCTGCCACAATCATTTATCTCAATGTCCCAAGAGAAGGAGGATCCTACACCCAGAGCCAACAACCCCTCCAAGCAATCAAAGATCCACCCTTACTTAGTGCTGCTGTTCCTTCTGTCTGCTGTTATGGCTCCAGTTCCAAGCTGCACTGAGGGTCCACTGGGCAAGGGCTGGCTCTGGAAGATCAACTCTGGGGTGAGATCCACTTCTGTAGGACTCACCATCACTTTGGCTGCAGACAGCAAAGCTGTTTTCCCTTTGTTGTAGTTCTCCAAGACCTGTTGAAGGCAAGCAGAGGAATAGGGAGGGCTTTACTGCAGGCAGCAGCTTTGCTGTTCTCAGGACTTTCAAATACTGGAATTGTCTCCTGTTCTTCCCACAAGCACAGGGCAAGCTGTAAGAGATAAAGGAATATCAAGGAATTCTGACAAGCCTGAATGCCCTGATGGGAATCCAGAGCTGGGGAGGTGACTGGCAGGGTGCTGGGAGGAGCAGCCTTCAGGCCAGCAGGGCAGAGGAGACCTGGGAACTGCAGCTCAGTGGCAGAGCCTCATCCTACAACCACTGCACCAAAGTTCCATCACCCCTCAGACATGGAGGGGCTGCAGCCACAACCTGCAGGACTTCAGGCCCAGCCTGGATTTCACCTGAGCTGCAGCCTGTCCTGGGCAGCTTCTGAGGAGGCACCAAACGCCACCCAAGCTCACATGGGTGGACATTAAATTTGGAAAGGTCCCCTTGTCTGGGACTCTTGGTGTTGAGATGGAGACCTACACTCCATTTCCAGACCCCATCCCATTCCAGATGAACAGTCTGTGCATGACTGGCCCAGAGCACAACCTTCTTTCCTCCTCCCCTCCAAAGTAAGTGTCCCTGTGTATTTAAACAGCCAGCTCTCCTCGGCAAGGACTTTCTCTTCTGGGCACATCAAGGCCTGGCACAAGGCACTGGCTTTATTAGGTACTTCATAGAAACTAATAAAACTGGAGCCCACCAAGGACACCTTCCTGGCTCTCCAATACTCCCACAGAGCTTTAGTTTGGACCCAAGAAGCTTCATCAGCTCATACCACTAGAGCCACCAGGATCCTTGTCCATTCTGTGCTTACACCTCACCCCATCACCACCACCCCTTCCACCCTTCTTGCCCAAACCTGGGCCTCTCCAGAGCCCACACGATTGCATGGAATGATCCCTTCCATTCCCAAACCTCCAATCTCTGCCTCACCTTGTTGAGCCCTTCCATGACCACGTAGGGGAGGTGCTCGTGCAGCATGGCTGGGGAGATGATCACTTCATTGAAAGCCTTATTGTCACCCCAGATAGCAAAGTAAGTGGGATCCTCTTGCTCACAGCAACTGGAGGAGGAGTTGGGGTTCAAACCGAGGGGAAAAGAGGGAGCAGGAGATGGAAGAGCAGGGCAGTATTTTGGCATGCAAAAAAAGCAGCAGGTTGCAGAGAGAGAAGAAGCAACAGAAGGAAAAAAAGAGAGGGAGAAGTTATTTAAGTACAGATGCTGTGCACCAGCCAACAGTGACAGGACTTCTGACAGCACAGACACAACCACTGTCACTGTAAGAAGGTGAGAAAAAAAATCACCTCCTTTATAGAATCATAGAATGGTTTGGGTTGGAAGGGACCTTTGGAGATCATCAAGTCCAACCCTCCTGCCAGAGCAGGAACACCCAGGGCAGGTCACACAGGAACACATTGAGATGGGTCTTGAAAGTCTCCAGAGAAGGAGACTCCACAGCCTCTCTGGGCAGCCTGTCTCTCTCACAGGAAAGAAGCTTTTCCTCATGGTGAGGTGGAACTTCCCATGTTCCAGTTTGTGTCCATTGTCCCTCATGCAATCACAGGGCACTGCTGAGAACAGCCCAGCCCCTTCTCCTTGCCACCCACCCTTCAGACATTTGTAAACATGACTAAGATGATCTCCAAGATCTTTTCCAACCCCAGTGATTCTGTGATTCTATGATTCCATGATTCTAGGGCAGGGCAGAGAGGGAGGAGAACTTTCCTCAACCCACTGGCCACACCCATGACTGGGCTTCCTGTCTTGGGAAGGAAGATTCTCTTTCCCAAATGTGCATTTCCCCCCCCAATACCAGTGAGCTGCTTTCCCAGCCCTGCCCAAACTGACCAGCACTGCTCTGCAGGGTGGTTGTGCACCACGTGGATGATCCGACCAGGGGGGTACAGGGGGGTGCTGGCTGACAGGGCAATGGTCAGGTCACTGGGGTGGGTCCACAGCCTGTTACTCGTCACCGAATTCTCCTCCGTCTCCTCGGGGAGCTCAGACTTGGGGATACACTTGGTAGCACCCACAATGATTCGCCACTGGGACAAGGAAGGAGGGAGAATGTTGAGGGAAAAAACCAAAGAAAAGCAGAGTCATCTCACAGGGCACTACTGGGAGGTGTAAACCACATATCTAACACCAGAACAAAAGAGGTTTTGTGCCCCAGTTGCTGAAATCATAGACCTAGAGACAGAGAATCCTGCCCAGAAAAGCTGCTCCTTCCTTTTTTTTTTGAAGTTCAACCTCATCCTTCATTTTCTGCTTCACTTTTTTGTAAAGCTAAGGGTCTAGAGCCAACACTAATTTGTTCACCAACTGGTAACTTTGCATCTTCCAGGATAAACGTGGGAGGTGGAACCTGATGTTATAATGTACAAAAATCAGCAAAAGGCTAAACCAGAAAACCAAAAATGCTGTTTAGGCCTTTCTTCCTGCACTAAAAGAAACCCTAAAACCCAAAAATTCACCCCCCCAAAAAAGCCAAAACACATGCTAAAAAAATCAAATATTATATATAAACTCATTTTTTTCCCTATATAATATTTTTCCCCTAAGTATCTTTGTGTCTTCTGTTTTATCCATCTCAGTGTCATGGTAAAGAAGCCTGGGGAGGAACAACTTTCCACATTTCCCATCTCCAACACATGAACAGCCCCTGATCCTAGAACAGCACCACCCAACCAGCAGCCAGCAGTGGTTGAGAGCACAAGTCCTGTCCTCCCCAGCCTGTTACTGGTCAGGAAAAGCTACAATTGGAACACAGGCTTCCAAACAGGCTTGGATGAAAGTATTTCCTGCTTGGTTATTTTAGACCTGTGATGGTGAAGTTGGAGCACATGAACCAGAGTCCTCACCCAGCCTGCAGCCCTTGGCCATGACCTCTCTAGTTGCCCTCCAGCTCTTGCCATCCCTCCTCTGGTTCACGGAATGGGTTGGGTTTGGAAGGGACCTTAAAGATCATCCAGTTCCAACCCCCTGCATGGGCAGGGACACCTCCCACCAGCCCAGGTTGCTCCAAGCCCCATCCAACCTGCCCTTCAACACTGCCAGGGATGGGGCAGCCACAGCTTCCCTGGGCAACCTGGGCCAGGCTCTCACCACCCTCACAGGGAAGAATTTCCTCCTCATGTCTCACCTAAATCTCCCTCTTCCAGTTTTAACCCATTATCCCTTGTCCTCTCTAGACTAACTAAACAGTAGTCACAATGGACCTGAGGAGACCTGGAGAGCAGGAGAAGTCTGCAGATTTGCTGTGTGAGCCTTAAGTGTTCCCCATCACTGCTCAGACACTCACCTTGTCTGTTCACCTTTACTCTTACCTTTGGCTTGTTACTTCTCTGAAGAACATCCAGAAGCTGCCGGCGAAATCCCTCCAGCTGGGAGAGACCAATCCTGGAAAAGAGGAAGATGTGTTTCCAAGAGCTGGGCAGGGAACAGGATGGTAGGGACACACAGCACAGGACAACAAGAAACTGCTACAAAAGAGACAAGAAAGCAGCAGCTCCAGAATGCAGATCCTTTCAGAGGGGGGTTGTGGCATCATCCAGGAGGAGCCACCAGCGTTAAGAGGCCACAGGAAACCATTGTGACCATCAACAAGTATGAAATGGAAGAGCAGAATCAGATCAGTGGACAGAGATATGAGAGGTCAAGGAACAGATAAGGAGGGTGATGATGCAGTCACAGAAACAAGTGAACAAGAAACAAGTAGAGGATGACACAGAACAGGTAAATCAGAAGGGTGGCACAGAGCTGTAGGACACCACTACCCAGGTCACAGATTTTGTCCCCCAGGTTCACCAATTCAGTACCATGAAGTACATGAAGACCAATTCAATACTATGAAGTACTTTTCCTCCACTGAATTCCATGTGTCTTATATGGTACAGACAGAAATATCACCATTTATCTGAGGTGACACCACAGGGCAAGGAAAAGTAAATCCCAGGTGGTCTGGCTGCTAGTCCAACATCCTGCCCAGCAGAAGGTGTCCTCAGGAGATGAGAAATGCCAGGACACAAGAAATGAGGGAGCTGATTGACAGAGATGTGAGATGATATGGAGTGGGGACAAGCAGTACAAAATGAGATGATGGCAGCAGAGCTAGGGCAGGGCAGAGTGAAGAGGTGTGAGAAGGGCCAGGAAGATGGCACTACCATGGCAGACACTGCAGTGGGTAGAGTCACAGAGGCAGGACAGTCACCCTTGTCCTTCACACAGGCAGCTGTGAGATGGGGAGGAGGGCTATGCCTATAAAAAGCTGTGTGAAACACCAAAACAGGTGTCCAGGTAAGAGACACAGCAGTTGGGGTAACTGGGAAGACAAGTCAGAAGCACAGGAGGACAGGGAAACGAGGGAACTGGAGACAGGGCTGATCTGGCTGCTTCTGACAGGGAACAGGTGACTTGGGAACACAACAGCAGAAATTCATCAAGAAATTCAGACACTTCTCAACTTGCCTGGGCACTAGATCTTTGCCAAGCACGACTGCAGTCACAAACTCTTTTGAATACTCCATGGCATCCTCACTGGAAGAGAAACAGGACCAAGAAGAAGCAAACAGTGTTTCACTGGCAGCCAACTGCCCTTCAGCCCCCAGTTGGCACTGGTGTCAGGGAGGTACCAACCAGTGAAGCAGGGTCAGACAAACCCCAGCCTGAGCTGCCCGAGGCTCCTGGGACCTGTGCCTTGATAAAGAAAAGCCTGATCTTCACCTGCCATGCCCCAAGCAGTGTTACTCTGCATGTGGCTCTGAACATGCTTGGGAAAGGAAGGACTAACTTGGTGCCTCACAGGCATTTTCCAGTAGTTTGGGAATGGCCAGGCCAGCAGAAAGGAAGAAGATGCTCCATGCTCCTGAGAGTGCTTTACAAAGACACTGTAGAACTAAGAGGGCCACTTTCTGCAGCAACCTGAGTGCCAAGACAAGAGGGAATTAAGGCTTCCACTCTGTGAGCTGGCTCTGCAACCAGCTGCCTTCCTAGGGAGCTTATGAACCAGTTCCCACAGGCTGCACCATTCACCTGGAGATGATCCTGGCCATGACACACAGTGCAACAGAAATGTGACAGTCAGAAGCACCTCCTTGAGCTCTGAAACAGTTGAGGAAACACAGCACAGCCTGGCACGAGCTATCAAGGGATCTGAGGAGTGGAAACCCTTGAGCAGAAAGCTCTAAAGCAGCCATGAAACCCTCTACAGACCAACCCCTCTCCAGCTGCAGAAGAGCAGGGATCACTAGCACAAGGCAGGCCAACATCCAGCCTCAGCAGGAGCAGGATGGCTTCAAACCCTTGGCTGCTCCTGGGACACGATGCAGTAACTATCACAAGAAGCTTCTGACAATCCAGGGCTGCTCTGGAGTGCCCCCATGGGGTCTGCCAGGACTAGAAAGACCTTCTGTCACTTCACAGCTATCAAAGGGGATGTTTTTGCAGGGCTGCCACATAAATAACACGACCAGCAGGTCTGTTCCAGTTGACAGTGGGAGGAATCCCACCCTACCTCTCTCCAGAGGCAGCTACTCCAGATCACCCCTCCCAGAGGAAGGTCCCCAAGCAGCACAACCCTCTGCCCTATTTTAGTCACCTGCTTTAAAATGCCAGAAATCACACCCCAGAAGTGCCAGCTTCTTTGTCAGGTACAAAAAAGGAGTCCAAGCAACTAGATCAGCTGATGCAAACATCTACACTGGGTCACGTATCTCCCTGGCTGTACATCTGCTCCCAGCAGGAAGGGAGGGGACACCAGCACTGTGTGGGGAACAAGGAAACTGTGCCCCCTTCTCTTAACCTTTCCTCTAGGCAGGGTGAAGGCAGAGCTCCAGCCACAGCCAGCCAAGTCAACAACCAGGATACTCAGGAGAGACCTGCCACCATAACCTGAGCTCCAGGCTACCACACCAAGAGCTGCCAACACCCCTCAGCTCCCACAAACTGCCTCTCCATTTTGCTGCAAGCTTCTCAAGCCAGAGACTTGTCTTCTCCTGCTCCTCAGAGCAGCACAATGAGGAGCTGGATCCAGCTACCACTACACATCCCTTCTCTCTCACTGGCTCTCCTGCCCCAACACCTACCTGAGCAGCCCACCTGGGGGAGAATAGGCAAAGCACTTCAGTGATGGGTACTGGGGGCGCAAGAGGAAGGACAGGATGGCAGCTGTGCCAGCCCCCAGGGAGTGACCCACCACAATCAGGCCGTAGTGTTTTGTTCCTCTCCCCTGCAAAACAAACCAACAAAAATATATTGAGGTCAGGCTGAAAGATAAACGAGTCCACAAGCCCCCAGACCTGTCCCCTTTCCTCAGCTGTGAGTCTGGGCAGTGCTCAGGGCAAGGCACTCGTTGGGCATGAGGAAAGGAGAGCTGGGTGACAGCAGGTGGCTCATCAGTCCCCTCCCCAAGGGGACCACAGACTGTGCCATCACTGACATCAAAACTAAGATAAGCTGCTTGCTAACATCTCTCCTGGGTCCTCTGACAGCTCCCCATCACCAGGCATGTGCACAGAGGGACAGCCAGGGTGGCATCCCATTGCTGCCTCCAAAGAGAATCTCCATAGAGATGGGATTTTAGTTCCTGTTGATTTGTTTTTAGTGCTCCCTGTCCTGCACTGTCCCCAAATGGGACTTCCTACCTTTGCTTTGGCTGAGGAAAAAACCAACCATCAGGAGCTCTGCAGTACTGGTGGTTTCAAAATAAAAAAAGAAGCCTTGGGGGGATGAGTAACTAGTTTCCTGTCTGGCAATCCAGAGGGATAGAAACTGAAGGAAGGTTTGAAGAATTAAAACAAGAGATTCAGGGACATGGAAGTGTCCCCAAAACACTGATTTTAGGGAAATCTCATTATGGCCTGCAAGGATAAAAGAGCACTAATACTCACTAAGTCTCTTCCAAAAGCTTGAGAAAGCACCATTTCTTGCTCCAGTTTCTTCTTGATGTACTCAGCAGAGAGCACCATTCCCTGAGGAGACAGAACAGGAGGTAAAGGGCTGCACCCCAGCCCTGACCCAAACCTCCAGCAGACACCAACTGCCCCAGTTGCTGTAGAAGCCTCCAAGTGCCCCAAAGCAGGTGGCAGGGCTGAGGAACCCCTGCCCTCCACCCCACATGAAGGAATAAACTTCCTCAGACACATGGCTGGGCTCACAGGGGCCACAAACTGTTCAGCTGTAATGCCAGCTCTTCAAGACACCCTCAAAGGGCCTATTCTGGGCTCACGGGGCAGAGTCTAGAAGAAAATCAACCAACACCCCACTCTGAATCACAAATGATTGAAGGTTTTTCCTTCACTAGAAGCTAAAAACTGCTGGAAGGTGGGAAATAAGCTGGTGGGTTGGTTCTAACCATTGCTCCTCTGCTGCTGGCTGCCCCTGAGGAGCCTTCCTCCCTCTGCCTCATCATTACAAATGCTGTTGATCTGTTTCTAAATGACCACCAGGATTTGGTGTGTTGCAGAAACTCTTGGTTATGCTTTTACTACAGTTGAACTCAGGGGTGAGAGCTACACCTGAATAAAACCAGTTTCATCAAGTGGGAAGGGAGCCTGAGATACAGAGGCTGGAAACCAGTGATACAGCCCAGGTAAAGAGCAAGCAGGTACTTTTAATTTGGTGATTCCAGACCTCAAATAATTCACACTGCCTGGGATGGCCAAAAAAAACCAGGGAAGATCAGCCCCTGTGCTATCATCCACCCAAAACACATACAGATCTAAAAGCCAGGACAGAGGAAGGATTAAAATGAGTTTCCCAGTGGGAAGCAGCAGCAACCAGCAACATGGAGAAGCTTTAGAGGGACAGTGTTAAGACTGGGGCCCACATTCATCTAGAGCAGTGAAAAAATCAGAGAGAAACCTGATCAAGGAACAACATCACTTAAGATCTTAAGGGAAGGTTTAAAAACCCCTCTTAATTAGGCCCAGATTACAAAGAGTGAAACTGAGCAGAGGGGAACCTTATTAGGGGATGATATTGGAAAAAGTGATGCAGTAAGTAAATAGTTGAAGTACAAAGGGAACATGATTGAGCACTGCTTCATCTCACAGACATAAAAGACTCCAGGGCCCTCTCCAAACAGCAAAGAAACAGGGCATTTTTTAAAGTCCTCAGTATCAAAGACACCATCAAACCCACTCTGAGCACTGAAGAGCTGGTTCTGCAGAGCCTGGAAAGGGGACATGTGTAAAGCCCCTGTTGGAAGCAAAGAGCAGATGCCAGGAGATCTCCTGCCTGTGCTCAGATCTCCCAGCAGCTCCCACTGCCTTCAGAAGAGGCTTCCTTGCCAACTCTAATGAGAAGTGAGCACCAGACCACTTCTATACATTTCTACCACGAATTTAGGATTCTATTTTTGAAAAGCATGACCTAAATCCACCCTGATATTACTAATGGGGCTGTTAGTTACCCTTCTAGCTGTATTTTTCTAATTGCAGTCTATTCTAATTAGACAGTGATTTTAACACCATGGAATGAGACTTTCATCACTGCACAGATACAGTTAGACCCTCCACTCAAGTGAATACTGGTTTGTCATTTTCCAAGGCATCAAACTATCTGGGCTTCAATCTCAAACCTCTCATGTAAATAACCAGACTGAAGATGCAGGGAAAGGGAAATGGACACATTCCCACTTCCTTTGCAGCTTGAAGGCATGAAAGTGCTGTGTGAGATTGGAATGGTGTGTGAAAACCCACAGAGAGGGTCTCTTAGCTAAAGAGATTTAAAGTTGTTGTTCTTGAGCTACCAAACTGTTGCCATGGCTGAGCTTTCAGGGCTTCCTTCCAGCAGCTGCTTCTTGTCATCCCTGTTACCTCCATACCACAAACCAAACCCCTGGGACCCAGTAGTTTTGTTCTGTACAAGTTCAAGAGAACTCAGGGTGGACTCATGCCCTTGACTTAGGATTGCTTTCCATTTATTATCAAACCAGTGGGGTGTATTTCAAAAAGTCAAGGTAGACACCTTGGTTCCTTTTGCAGTCCATTTCCCTTGAGAATTTGTGTGTGTGAACCCACAAACCTCAGTGACAGCTTTGGTTTTTGACCCAAAATAGCTCAGAAACCTCATCTATCTTTTAACTGTACCATGCACAGCAACCCAGGCAATCAACCACTCTCAGCTGTGGTAGCAGTGGGGTGATAAGAAGGCTCATGTAAACATCAAAGAGGTTTAATTTGCAGGCTGTGTGACAGCCACTGCATAGAGCAGAGTGATGGGAGGGCTCTGCAGGTGGAGATAAAAGGCCCTGTCATCCTGCTGGGGGTGTGGGACAAAAATCAGCAAGAAAAGAAACAAAAATCAAACAACTTCCAGGAAGCTCCTGAATGGCCAAGTGCTTTTCTCCAAATTAAATGTGTTAGCAAGACACTTCATTTATTTTTGTATTAAACTTGACTTCTGGACATTAAAAATGCATTAAGACAGGCATTTTAAAATTCTATTATCTCCATGAGTTCCCCTCAGGAATCAACAGTGCATTATTGTCTGAAGATTAATACTGATAATAATTGGAGGCAAAGCTGCATTTCTGTACTAGTAACAGTCCAAAATGAAATAACACAAAGAAAAACTCCATCTAGGACAAAGGGAATGATCTGATGTTTCATATAAGTCACTGGCATAGGAATATTTTCCCTTCCAGATCAAAAGAAAAAGCAGCTTCTGCAAGGATCTGTTGCACAGGAAAAAGGGAACTAATTCCCCTTTGGTTTCCTTTCAACTTTTTCTTTACTTGAATTGGGGAGCACATGGGCTGTGCAATATTGGTTGGGGCTAAATGAATTAGAATCATGGTCTGGGTTGAAAGGGAGCTTAAAGATCACCTAGCTTCACCCCCCTGCATGGGCAGGGACACCTCCCACCAGCCCAGGTTGCTCCAAGCCCCATCCAACCTGCCCTTCAACACTGCCAGGGATGGGGCAGCCACAGCTTCCCTGGGCAACCGGGGCCAGGCTCTCACCACCCTCACAGGGAAGAATTTCTTCTAATGTCTCACCTACATCTCCCCTCTTCCAGTTTTAATCCATTGCCCCTTAACTCATAAAGGAAAAACCAAACAAGAGCCATTATCCCTGACAGCAGATGCGGACACTTCAGAAGAACAAAAATGCACAGGACTAAACATCAGTTCTGTGCCAAAACACTACCTCATTTCTCTCAGTTTCCCTAACACACCCTTTGGAACTGCCAGATGGATCCATTTCCTCCTTTTGGGACCAACTTAAGGGAATTCCCAGCAGCCAAACAGCAGGTACACAACACTTGCTTTCAAGAGAGGGATCTCTCTGGGAGATCTGGAGACCACGGAGCATCCAAGCCACATTTCTTAGGTACCCCTGCAGGGACCCTGAGCAGCAGCACCTCACCACCTCCCTCACCACCAGCATTCCCAGCAGCTGCCACGTTTCTCCCAACACACACACAACCTCCAGCCTGTATTTTCCCTCTCCAGACTGGCACAGCACAACCTGAGGGGCTGCCAAATTCCCGAGCACCTTAAAAATCAGCATGTGAATCATTACTGCACTGAGCTGGGGCAAAGATCAGCTCTACAGTAAATTGATTTAGTCAGCCCAGTCCTGAGCACTAACACAGACACAAGCAGCAGTTTCATTACCCAGCTGCAAGTCCTGCCAGGATCCTTGTAGGAGATCCAAGGCCTGTCCCCTTGCAGCAGAATTTTAAACACGTTCTCAGACTTTGATTGCAAATTAAGGTCATTGGAGGACAAAGACATTTGAGTTACTCTGATCATTTCATTCTGGGGCTCTGCAGATGCTTTCTACAGTTTGGTTTTACTAATTGTTTGGGTTTTTAATGACAGACATGATAGTAAGAGTTACAATGAAGGGTTTAACACCTCAAAGCCACCTCACCACAATGATGGAGAACCCTTCTGGAAAGCACCTCAGGAAATTACAACTACTGTATTTTTTTTTTTTCCCTAGCCTAGAATTAAAAAGCCAAAATATTAGAAAAAAAGAAAAAAGAAGTGTTTGGTTTCTTTCCTTGCACACACCTTGTGTCCCAGCCATGTCCCATGGTGACCCTCCACGGGAAGACGCTCTGCATCCCCAGTCAGGTCAGTCAGGGCATCCTGGAGAGAAAAGCAGCTTCAGGAATGTCAAACACCACGTTTGCCAGGCAGGAAAACCCTCCTGAGAGGGTCTGTGAGGCTGTTGCACAGGGCACTTACTTTTGGAGACAGAGTTCCTCGGATGCTAATGACCACTTTCTTCTTCTCATGGTCCACAGCCACATAGAAAGGTGTTTCATAAACCTGGAAAAGATCCACTCCTGTAACCACCAGGTGAGACATTCCTG